CATAGAACCTGGCCTGCCTAACTTCGATCTGGAATCCGAGCTACCCCACGATGATTTGAAAAGAGTCGATCAGGGATTCATGGTGAGGGGGTCCAGGAGATCACAGGGCGTGAGTTTGGTGGCATTTGAATGGATTAGGGTTTGGGTCGATTCCTTTGATCTAAGATTCGAGGAGCTCGGGGGTGATTCGAAGAAAACTGAGTGTGGGACTGGAACGAGGAAGTCTTGGGGAAGCTGTGGTGTGAAATTGGAGGCTATTAGACGAGATAGGGTTCCGACCTGATTTTCGATCTAATATTTGAAGCACACGGCTGAGATTCGAGGGATAAGAGTTAGGGATTCAGAATGGGGAGGTCAAGGGGAATCAGTGGTGAAAAGATGGGGTCGTTTGGACCACCGGAACCGCCGTGAGGCGATTTTTGGTGGGCGGAGCACGGTGGTTGAAGGCGGAGAATCTGTTTGATCTCTGAAGCTCAGAGACGAAGAGGTGGGGGGGTTGGTTTAGGGGGTGGGGTAGGATTTAGGAATATATACCATGTGGGGAATTTAATCTTGGCCGTTGGATCAATCACGATCAACGGCCTGGATCCTTTTACTGATTGGAAACAACATCGTTTGGTTTAAGTATGAGGGTTGGCTGGATCCGGGTAACGGGTCGGGTTCGGGAATGGGTTAATGTAGATTGAATCTCAGCTTTTGGATCGATTTAATCCAACGGCCTCGATTAAGAGTGACCAAACGACGTCGTTTTAAGACGTCTCTGGCCAGACCAACTGGACCTGGTTCATGGGTGATTTGGGCCTGATTTTTGCATTGAAATTGGCCCAATTTTCACTCTTTTCTTATTCTTTTTTTTTCAATTTTCCTTTTCAATAATAAAACTAAAAATCCTAATTAAATTATAAAATCGACAATTAACTAAAAATATTGACTCTTAATAATAACTATCACACGAAATTAAACATCAATAAAGATAAAATCACACAATTCGGACATTAAATGCAAAAATGCAAAGTGCATATTTTTGTGATTTTTCCATTTTGTAAAACAAACTTGATTATTTAATTAATTCCTAAATTGCATAATTAAATCCTAAATATGCATGCAACATGTATTTTTGTATTTTTTAATTGATTAAACAAAAATAACCACTCACAGACAAAAATAATTACGAAAAATGTCATGCGAAATTCTTAAACTTGTACCCAAAATGACATTTGTTTTATTTTTCGATTTCTTTTGGAGTAGTTTTCGTGAAGCAAAAATCACGTGCTCACACCGCTGATCCGATCCAAAGTGCTGATGGTAGTAAAGATTCCTAGGAAGTTGATCAAGTGGTGGAAAATGTTTTCATCGTTGGAGCAGCATGAGTTAATGCAGAAATTGGGCACCCTAACTTCCCTTCTTGATATCACACCCCGCCCAGACTTAGTGGAGGCGATGCTGACTTATTGGGATCTGCAAAATTTGATTTTCAGATTTGAAGAGTGTGAGATGACTCCTACCTTGGCGGAAATGTCTGGTCTCACTCGTTTAAGCTATATAGCCAAGGACATGATACTTCCCCGAGAACACTCTAGGACAAGATTCCTCAGCGACCTAGGCCTGAAAGATAATAAGCATTTAAAATGTCTCGAGCAGTCCTGGATATCCTTGGATTATTTGTTTGCTAGATTTGGACCACAAGATAGTTTTGATATCTTTTGGGATGGGTTCTGCACAACCAAGGCAAAGTGGCAAAGACGTCACCTCGAAGCTTTCAGCCTTGCTTTGTTGGGATTATTGGTTTTTCCATTAGATGAGAGGCACATTAGCACCCGTCTACAATCAGTGGTAATGACACTATTTCATGAGAAGCAATGCAAAACCGTTACCGTTGTGCCGATGATCTTAGCAGAGTTGTACCGAGCCCTGAGTGAGGTTAGGGGAGGTGTCAGATATTTTGAGGGAAGTAACCTTTTGCTACAGCTGTGGACGATGGAGCATTTGCACACTGCTTCCTTACTTTGTCCCATCGACCGTGCCTTGAGGGATTGGGTGGTATGCATCGAACGTAGGATGAAATCTCCTAAGTTTATGTACCCAGTAGGCGTCACGGCTTGGATTGGGTTCCTTGGTTTGAGGACAAATGGGAATGTTTTGTGGGCTTACCTTTGGCTACCTTTGGATAATATCTTGGTAGGGTGCCTCATGCAGCCTTTCCTGATGCTGATAGGACTCAAGTGTGTCAGGCTGTACACTCCCGTTAGGGTAATGTGACAATTGGGCAGAAGACAAGAGGAGCCTCCAACTTTGAACCTTCGGAGGCACATCATAAATTTTAGCAAAAAGGCGGCTGATGAAATCAAGTATGTGCAATACTGGAACAATGCAAAGAGGATGAAGAAAAATACATTAGTAGAAGATGTTGGCAGGCCCGAGTGTACTTAGGAGTACTTGATTTGGTTACAGTCCATCCCTCCAGGGGTCAGCATCCCATTGCCAGCCCAACTCAGGGGTCGGGCAGTTCAGACAGATGATTTTGGGGAGGCATCGGACCAAGATTCCTGGGATAAGCTTGAGTTGATAAAGTCTCAGTTAGCGGGATTGGCAGCAAACATGGAGCAGCATAGCCAGTATTTGTTCAGGGTCGGCCTTCAGGATGTGGGGGCATACGCCAGGGCCTTTATTCCCAGCATCAGTGTTTCTTTACAAGGCATGTTACAGAGTTTGAGCATGACGGACAGCCCAGGACCATCCCGGCCAGGACAGTCGCATTCAGGAGCAGCTTGAGGAGTCATTCTATTTAGGTGTTTTGAGATTGTCTTATGTTGTCTTTTACTTTCGTGTCTTGTCTAGAAGTACCGAGTCCTTTAGGTAATGTTAGAGTCTGTCGTAATGTAGTTGAGTCTGTCATGTCTTTCATTATCGTATTTCCCTTTGTATTTTAATATCTAAAAGTTTTAAATGAAAAATCCCAAAAAGATTTTGTTTTCAATTTATTTTCCACCACTTCTCTAGAACTACGCTTGGTCTGATTCATGAGGGACATGATACGTAGGCAACCCACATCGGGTTCGATCAAATCATTTTTGGTTCAAAATAAAAAAGAGAAAGAAAAAGAAAATAGTGATAAGAGGTGTTGGAAAAAAGAAAGAGAAGAAAGGATTGAAATGAGCAAATTGGGATGATGCCATATGACTGCGACCCTCAAAGCCATTTTAGAACCGTTAATTGTTGCTAGGTGCATTGCACGTAATGTGATGTTATTATTTGATAAATGCTCTAACGCTAACATGGTGGTTTTGTGTTGTTGTCCCCTGTTATCTCTATTAAGTTTCAGGAAGGTAGTTAGTTTGTTGGCATCCTAGCAAGTCATCCATACAACACCCGATCAATGCGTCAAACAGTCATGGTTAGCAAGAAAACAGACACTGGAGTTGTAGACCCACCAAGGTAGATTGTTGAGTCGGAATTAGAACTGCAAGAGGAGGTCCGGAGGTTGAAGCATCAGATGACAGAAATGTATCAAGCCTGGATTAAGGGACATCCTCCACCCTCGTTCCCTACCAACTACACAGAAAACCCTGCTTCCATTCCACCACTCTCTCAATCCCAGATGCCCAATACTATTGATATTTCCCGACAACACGCACCTGGCTTTACCCCTTACCACAACTACCCCGACACTTCAGCCCAAACAGTTTATGCTCCGCCAGCCAAAACAACCTCATACCCTGCTCCGACATCTGCTCCTTTTTTTGTACCCCATCCACAAGCTACCCTCTACCAATCCTCTAGTGAGCCCGCATTCCCCGCTACAGATGCCCACTACTATGCACTAGAGTCCACATTCAAAGTCCCAGATCCTTACTCTTACAATCCCCAATTTGAGCCTCATGTTGAAACTGACAAACTACCCAAGAATTTGTGGATCAATCATTGAGAAATATGCAAGGGTTGGGAAACCAAGTGAGTGTAGCCTATAAGGATTTGTGTTTTTTCCCTGATGTCCAATTGCCTGCCGGGTTCAAGATGCCCAAGTTTGACTTGTATGATGGACATGGGGATCCTGTAGCTCATCTGAGAGGTTATTATAGTAAAATGAGAGGCGCCGGGGGAAAAGATAAATTACTGATGGCATACTTCAGCCAAAGTCTGAGTGGTNATGAGATGGTTAAATACTTTCTTCAAGCCCTAGAGCCCACTTACTATGGCCACTTGATCTCAGCTATTGGTAAGTCTTTCAATGATGTGGTGAAGATGAGAGAAATGGTGGAAGAGGGGCTAAAGTTGAGTAAGATCATGAGCTATTCTGCTATAAAAGCAACCACCCAGGCAATCCAGAGTGGTACCGGAAGTGTGCTAGGCAAGAAGAAGAAGGAAGATGTTGCTATGTTTGTCTCCGGATCATGGCATGGCTAGAGGGGTTCACCTTATCAGTACATCCATCCTCGACCCCGACCCCAAGCCTACGCCTAAGCTCCATATAATCCACCTCAACATTACTTTTCCCCGCAAAACCCCCAATACTCAGCCAGGCTATCCCAATACCTTGTTCACCACACACAATCATATGCTCAACCCCCTCCTTACCCGCAATGGCGTACTCCGGCTTCGCAGAATATCTACCCATCTCCACAAAATACCTATCCACCCCCACAACCCTATCAAAACCCCACTGGTTCAAATTTTCAATCAAGGCCAGAGTATAGGAGAGAGAGGCAACAACGGAAACAAACTTTTACCCCGCTTGGAGAGTCCTATGCTAGTCTGTTTCAAAGGTTAAGGCAGTTGGACGTCTTGAGGCCGATTGAGTCAAAGATACCAAATCCCCCTCCAAAAAACCTCAATTATTCCCTAAGATGCGCCTATTGTTCTGATGCTCCAGGGCATGACATAGAGAAGTGTTGACATTACGGGCAATCCAGGAGCTCATTGATACAAACCAAATTGTAGTCCAAAGCCCAGATGGACCAAACATCAACCAAAACCCTTTGTCATCCCATGCAGAGACGCACATGATTGAAATAGTTCACAAGGATGGGGAGCCCAAAAAGTCTTCTAAGTCCGTCATGATGATTCGGGCCAGTGAAAGCAATTTGGTTAAAGCTCCAGACTCTACCAAAGCAATGCCCTTGACATTTGAAGGGATGACAGAAAAGCCGAGCTCACTCAATTCGAAACCACCAGTTTTGGTCGTGAAAGGGCTGTCGAAAGATATCGGGGCAAGTCCGGAAAGTTCAAAAGTGGTAGTACCAGGGATTTCAAGTAAGCCTGTAATAGTTGTGAAGGGGGCTCCTACTACCCCTATTATTATTAAACCAGTAACCCAGCTTCCAGTGGTGGATGCCAAGGTTGTTCTGTGGAATTATAAATAAGTGATAGTGACATACAAATGAAAAGAAATAGAGGAAGAAGTCAATGAAACTGGAGAATTGACTCGTTCTGGGAGATGTTTCACCCCAGAAAAATTAAGGAAAGCCAAGCCATTCAAGGATAGCCCAATGCCAGTAAAGAAATCGGTCACTGAGGAAGAGGCTGAGGAGTTCCTGAAAAAGATGAAAGTGCAGGATTATTCCATTGTGGAGCAATTAAGGAAAACACCAGCTCAGATTTCTCTTTTGTCTGTGTTGATACATTCAGATGAACATCGTAGGGTCTTGATGAAGATTTTGAATGAGGAACATGTTCCTGATAAGATCACAGTGAACCACTTGGAAAAGATAGCTGGCAGGATCTTCGAAGCAAATAAGATCACTTTCTCGGACGCNTTGGTTGATAATGGCTCTAGTGCGAATATTTGTCCCCTGTCTACTCTGCAAAAACTGAAGATTGGCACCGAAAGAATCCACTTGAACAGTGTGTGTGTCCGAGGCTTTGATGGGGGAGGTAAAGATTCTGTTGGAGATATAATGCTCGAATTGTCAATAGGGCCTGTTGAGTTTACCATGGAATTCCAAGTGTTAGATGTGGTTGTCTCCTACAATCTGTTGTTGGGCAGGCCCTAGATACATGCTGCTAAGGCAGTCCCGTCTTCTCTACACCAAATGGTGAAGTTTGAATGGGACACGCAGGAAATAGTTATGCACGGTGATGGGGACTTGTCAGCCTGTAATGATGCAATTGTTCCGTTCATCGAAGCTGAAGATGATAAGGGACCTTGGGTCTATCAGACTTTCGAAATAGTGTCTGTTGAGAAAATTCCTGAAGGAAAATGCGTTCCGGGTCCTAAGCTATCCTCCGCGTCCGTCATGGCTGCGAATGAAATGTTGAAGAATGGTTTTGTACCGGGCAAGGGTCTGGGCTCATCTCTGCAGGGTATTATGCATCCAGTGCATCCCAAGGGAAATCCTGGTACATTTGGTTTGGGATTCATGCCCACAGAGAAGGACGTGAAAAGGGTTAAAAATCTGAAACAGAAGGTATGGTCGCTCCCCAAGCCCGTCCCACACATCTCTAAGTTTTTTGTCAAGCCAGGGACCGAAAAGCCTCCAACCTCCTCAACCCCAAAACCTGTGTTCGATGTTGATGAAGAGCTGATCAAGAGGTTCCAAAGTCTGTTCGAAGAAGTCAATATGGTAGAAGTTGGTGAAGGCTCTAGTAAAGCAAATGTGCAGCTCGTTGGCCCAAACGTGAGCTTAGAAATTGGGAAGCTACTCTTTTCCCTACCAAGAAGGAGTTTTGGTAGTTTGCTTCATTTTCCTTTCTATTATCAGGGTTATTCCAGGGTTGTAATCCAGATTTTTAGTTTTGCTTGTTTTGATGTTCAAACCCTTCTATCCTTTTATTTTCAATGAAATGCAATTTTCCATTTTCTGTTATTCTTAATAGTGTTTTATTTTGTTATTTTTTCTTTTGTACAGTTCTTTTTATGCTTGTTGCAGTGACATGACATGCATGAAGAGTTTTCAGCCGAGTCTTAAAAGCCAATCTAATTCTGAAATAACAATCCAAGAAGTAGAATATGATGATGAAATAGAATATGATGAAGAAGCAACATTTGAGGAAATCAGTAAAGAGCTAAAACAATTTGAAGAAAAACCAAAGCCTAATTTGAGTGAGACCGAAGCAATCAATTTAGGGGACTAGGATGATGTTAGGGAAACGAAGATAAGTGTGCATTTAGAGCCGCAAGTTAAGGAGGCAATAATCAAAAAGGCAATAATCAAAACATTGTTTGAGTAAAAAGATGTCTTTGCATGGTCATATGACGATATGCCGGGCCTGAGCACTGATCTGGTAGTTCATAAATTGCCAACTGATCCAGCATTCCCTCTTGTCAACCAAAAGTTGCGAAATTTTAAGACTGATATGAGTGTGAAGATCAAAGAAGAAATCACAAAGCAGCTTACTGCAAAGGTCATTCGGGTCACTCGATATCCCACTTGGTTAGCCAATGTTGTGCCAGTACCAAAGAAGGATGGTAAGACCAGGGTCTGTGTTGATTACCGTGATCTTAACAAAGCAAGCCCAAAGGATGATTTTCCATTGCCGAACATTCACATTTTGATCTATAATTGTGACAAGCATGAGATTGAGTCTTTTGTGGACTGTTATGCAGGATATCACCAGATCTTGATGGATGAGGAAGATGCAGAAAAGACTGCGTTCATCACGCCATGGGAAACATATTGTTATCGGGTAATGCCATTTGGTTTGAAGAATGCTGGGGCGACTTATATGAGGGCGATGACTACCATATTTCATGACATGATACACAGGGAGATTGAGGTTTATGTAGATGATGTGATCATAAAGTCAAAGAAGCAGTCTAACCATGTTAAGGATTTGAGAAAGTTTTTCCAAAGACTCCGCAGGTATAACCTCAAGCTCAATCCAGCGAAATGTACATTTGGTGTCCCGTCGGGGAAGCTGCTGGGATTCGTGGTTAGTAGATGCGACATTGAGTTAGATCCATCAAAGATCAAAGCCATTCAAGAGTTACCGCCGCCAAAGAACAAAATAAAGGTGATGAGTTTGCTTGGAAGGTTAAATTACATCAGCAGGTTCATTGCTCAGCTCATAATAACCTGCGAGCCCATATTTAAGCTGCTGAAGTAGAATTCTGCGGTCAAGTGGACTGACGAGTGTCAAGAAGCATTTGATAAGATTAAGAGGTACCTGTCGAATCCACCTATGCTGGTCCCACCAGAGCTTGGAAGACCTTTAATTCTCTGTTTGACAGTCTTGGATAATTCTTTTGGCTGTGTATTGGGTCAACATGACATCACGGGAAAGAAGGAGCAAGCAATCTATTATCTCAGTAAGAAGTTCACTCCCTATGAGGTTAAGTACACTCTGCTTGAGAGGACATGTTGCGCCCTGACTTGGGTTGCACAAAAGTTGAAGCATTATCTGTCGTCCTACACTACTTACCTCATTTCCCCGCATGGATCCTCTAAAGTATATCTTTCAGAAGCCTATGCCCGCGGGAAGACTGGCGAAGTGGCAGATTTTACTTACTGAGTTTGACATCATCTATGTGACTCGGACCGTGATGAAGGCCCAAGCCTTGGCCGACCACTTGGCCGAGAATCCGGTGGATGATGAATATGAGCCACTGAAGACTTATTTTCCTAATGAAGAGGTCATGTGTGTTGACGAGGTTGACCGAGATGAAAATCCAGGTTGGAAACTCTTCTTTGATGGAGCTGCTAACATGAAGGGTGTCGGAGTAGGGGCTGTACTTATATCTGAAATAGGGCAACACTACCCTGTAACAGCCCAGCTTCGATTTCATTGCACAAACAATATGGCCGAGTACGAAGCATGCATTCTAGGTTTTAGGTTAGCTGTAGACATGGGAGTCCAGTAAATACTAGTTCTGGGAGATTCAGATTTGTTGGTTCATCAGATTCAAGGAGAATGGGAGACTCGAGATTTGAAGCTCATACCGTACCGACAATGTCTGCATAATCTTTGTCAACGGTTCAGGTCGGTTAAATTTAGACATATTCCCAGGATTCATAATGAGATTGCTGATGCCTTGGCCACTCTGGCGTCAATGTTACATCATCCGAACAAGGCTTATGTTAACCTCGTGCACATCCAAGTTCATGATCAACATGCTTATTGTAATGTGGTGGAAGAGGAAATCGATGGCGAACCTTGGTTCCACGATGTCAAAGAATACATCAGGTCGGGGGTATATCCAGTACATGTTACAGGTGACCAAAAGAGAACCATTCGACGTCTGGCTAGTGGATTTTTCTTGAGTGGAGGAATCTTGTACAAGAGGACTCCGGATTTAGGATTGCTGAGGTGCATAGACGCTAAAGAAGCTTCAACTATCATGGCCGAAGTGCATTCTGGAGTTTGCGGGCCGCATATGAATAGGTATGTCTTGGCAAAGAAGATACTTCGAGTAGGTTATTATTGGCTCACCATGGAACGGGACTGTATCAGTTTTGTTCGCAAGTGTCATCAATGCCAGGTACCTGGTGATTTGATTCATTCTCCCCCATCTGAGTTACACACAATGTCTGCACCTTGGCCCTTTGTTGCTTGGGACGTGGATGTCATTGGACCAGTTGAGCCGGCAGTGTCAAACGGGCATAGGTTTATTCTGGTGGCCATTGATTACTTTACCAAGTGGGTCGAAGCTGTAACTTTCAACTCCGTGACCAAGAAGGCGGTGGTGGATTTTGTTCATTCAAATATCATTTGTCGGTTCGAAATTCCCAAGGTGATCATCACAGACAATGCTGCTAATCTCAATAGTCATTTGATGAAAGAGGCATGCCAACAATTCAAGATCATGCATCGTAACTCCACTCCGTATCGCCCCAAGGCAAATGGAGCTGTTGAGGCTGCTAACAAGAACATAAAGAAGATACTTCGTAAGATGGTTCAAGGTTCTAGGCAATGGCATGAAAGGTTGCCTTTTGCCTTACTGGGTTATCGCACTACTGTTCGCACTTCAGTAGGTGAAACTCCTTATCTGTTGGTATATGGAACTGAGGCAGTTATACCTGCGGAAGTTGAGATTCCATCCCTTCAGATCGTTGCAGAAGCTCAAATTGATGATGATGAGTGGGTCAAAACCCGGCTAGAGCAGTTGAGTTTGATTGATGAGAAAAGGTTAGCTGCAGTATGTCATGGTCAATTGTATCAGAAGAGAATGGCAAGAGCATACAACAAAAAGGTGCGTCCTCGGAAATTCGAAGTGGGCCAGATGGTATTGAAACACATCCTTCCTCATCAGGCTGAAGCTAAAGGCAAGTTCGCCCCAAACTGGCAGGGGCCGTTCATAGTGACAAGAGTGTTTCCCAATGATGCTTTGTATTTAACAGACATAGAAGGCAAATGTGTAGATATGGCTAGTAATTCTGATGCAGTTAAGAGGTACTATGTATGATGTCTTTGCTTACCGTCAGTTGTATTTTGTACTTGGCATGTTCAAAGTTGAAATGAGGAAGGCATTTTGTTCTGCTACCCAAATATTTTTATCCTTTGTTATCCCTTTTGAGCCTTATTTATTTTCTTTCATACCTCTCTTTTGGAATCAGTAATAGATTAGAGAAGAAAAATGAAAAAAAAAGAAAAAAAAAAAGAAAAGCTACCAAAAACAAGCAACTTCCTTTTGAACTACGTTCGACCTGATTCCTTTTAAGGATACGTAGGCAGCCTTACGGTTCGGTCCCATCAAAATAAAAATAAAAATTCCCCAAACCCAAAGAAACTGGGGCAGAAGTTTTGGTTTTGAAAAGATCTGATTCCAAAAGTTGTAATTTTGACCCGTTTTCATCTTTAGTTTGTTTGAGCCTTCATGCCACCCTTTCTTTCTAACCCTGTCCAAAAGCCTACATTACAGTCCAAAGAAAGACTTTCCGATTAATCTTTGAGGATGCTAGGTCAAGCGAGATAGAGGTATGATTTACATCATGGGTAACACTTTGTTCACGGGCGCAAGAGAGAAAATTTAAAATGAGAGAGTCTTATTGGTGAAAACCCTCACGGGCCCCGTAAGGCGATGGTGAGCTGAGAGAAAATTTAAAATGAGAGAGTC